CTGGCCACTATATTATCTAAAAAAATACAAGTATCGTATTGGGACTCGGGATCAGCAGATACTCAATATTATATGACTTGGATCTGGGGTTAAAAAGCCTTGATTGAACATCCCTAATATTCATAGAAGCTGATATGGATTTGATTGGGTTGAACAGAAGGTGAAAGCAGGGATAACACCACTGGCTTATAATCAGGAAGGTTTCTCTAACGTATAGAAAATGTCAGTGCCATGGGCTTTAACAGTAATGGCAGGCAGACTTTCAGGGAATTCTTATCTGGATGGCTCTGACATCTGGCCTTTTTTCCTTTATACTGTAGACATTGGTCAGTTTCACTTCTTTGCTCTTCTTCCTTGCAGTTACTGCAGTTACTGCTGCAGGTCAGAAAGCATCTAATTCCATGGCCCTTTTTTTATTTCAATTCTTTTCCATTTGTCTCTTTTGTATTTAGTCAAGCAATGGTGATTAGCAATGAAATTACTTTCCCACCCCCTTAAAGCTGAGTCTAAAGCTTTCCTGATGTCAGAGCTATTATAGTACTGAGCCATCAGAGCTTGTCAGTACATTCCATATAATCTGTGATCAGTGATGGACTGATCAGAATGAGCTTACAGACAATACCCAGAGGCTCGATACAGATACTCAAAGGGGAAAATTAGTTGCTAGATGGCGTTTAATCTTGATTCTTGTCCATGTTCTCTCTTCATCCTTCTCTCGTTGCTTCTTTTCTTTCACATCTCTATTTGTATGTTTCTGTAATCAGTTTTTCCAGGTGTTATTTTGTCTGTAATGCCAATGACACACACCCGCACTCACACACACACACACACACAGTTTCCTGTTTTTGACTCCACTGCCCTTTCAGCTTGAGCCAGTCAAAACCATTTATATCTCTGCAGTAATGTTGCTGCTGTTTATCTTCTTTCCGTTTCTGTCCATTACATGCAGTAACTGTGGTCACAGTGTCCTTCACTCTCAAATATATTACACCAGGGAGATCTAAATGAGGTTTCATCTGATGAGGGAAGACAAGGGCAGTTGTTTTCTATATAATGGTATCATTTAAAGGACCAGGGTGATTTAGTGGCATCTAGCAGTGTAGTTGCAGAATGGAGATTGCAACCAATTCGCCTCACCCTCCCATTCTAACCGTGTTGGAGACTATAAAATTTGCAAATAAACGTGGCGCACCCTATCTGGAGTCAGTGTTTGGTTTGTCCGTTCTGAGCTACTGTTGAAACATTGCGATTCAACATGGCGACCTCCTTAAGATATCTCCCTGTAGATAAAAATGGCTATTTATAAGGTAACAAAAGCACAACAATCCTTATTTTCAGGTCATTATACACTAATAAAAACATATTTATAAATATTATATTCCATTTCTGCCAACAGATCCTCCTAAATGTTACTCACTGGACCTTTAAGTAAGCTATTGGAATATTAGCCCTTCTCCTTTAAATAGGTATGTGGACTGATAAAGATTTCAAGTTTGTCATTCATCAAGGTACATTTTGAAATCTCAACAAGGATCAGCTTTTCTAAGGCAGGCCTCATTTATATCCGTTGGTCATTTGCCATCCATGGGAATGCAGCTTCTGTAACAAAATTTTGACACACAGATTCGTCAAGAAACAACCTCACAGGGAGCAATTAGCCCCCTGACTCGAAATGACATTTGATACATTAGACCATGGGAACATATTAAATATCTATTCATGAGCTTTTTGCATCTCTTGTACCTTCAGATTTGTAATACTGCTTTGGTGTTCTTACTAATTTAATGTATCTCATATGGTAGTTTATTTATAAAGAAATACAAAGGGAATCACCCATATTAAATAGTTATTGAAAGTACCACATTTAGCATGATTTTAGCAAACCAAATAACCTGTAGAAGTGGAATATTTGACAAGCATGTATTTGTTCAAACCTAATCATCAATTTAAAATAGTTTTATATAATAATTTCAGCATGGTCATTCCTTCAATTTGCTTGACCCATAACATGGATGTTATCCATTATCAGCCAATCACAAAGATGTCACCAGAGCGACCCACCAGCACACACTGACACTGCGATCCATCACAGGCAAAGGACATGACACTGTCAGTCTGAGACGAATACTTCTGTCGCTGAGGAGATAACTCACTGAACTTAGGATTCCTTTGGCTGTTGGTAGAGATCGAGGCAGACAATGACCTTGCACCGGAGCTTTTAGGCACTGGAGCCCATTGGCTGTAATTGCCTGTCAAGCAGCAGACATGGGGTTTGACAGAGTGGTTGGACAGCGTAATCCAGGTGTTTGCAGTGTCAGTGTGGGCCCTGGTAATTCTTCCGATGGGAGGCTAGAAGAATAATCTCTGACCTTTGTGTCCCTTATGTCCCAAGCTGTTTCTTATTAGACTGTTTACTGCATTATGTGTGGTTACTGAATATTTCATGATTGAAGTGGACAGATTCCCTCAGGCCCTCTTTACTTTGCATTATAATGCATCTGCAGTGTACACACTGAAATCATATTTCCATTACCTCTTTGAATTTGCAGTCTTTAAAATTCTCAGTTATAGTTTGAACACCTAATTTGGCTTGTTTACAATTTGCCAATATCTGATTATTGATAGGTATTCCATTTTGCTCTTTGCTTTTCCTGACGCCTGTTTGATTTGTGTTCACCTACTAATTGGATTTGCACAAAGTTTAAGTTTTTATCCATTGACATTGTAAAAAAAAGGCACGCTCATGTTAGCGAATGCCTGACCACTGGTTTAAATCGTATCTGATCATCTAGGAGTGCTGTTTTCAGGTGTTAGAGCCACTGAAAACTTGCTTTCAAGTTTTTCTCAATAGGATAAAATATTTGTGAATATGTGAGCAACAATCATTCAGTTTGGGATAAAAACATCCTTTGGTGTTTGGTATTCTCAAAAACTCTAATGTCCTTAGATTCCGTTTTTTATGTTGTGAAGAGAGAAAAGCAGAAAGTGTGGAACTGGGTCCCATCACTCAGAATAAGAGCTGAGATGTTTTAAGGCCTTTAAGGATGTGGATTGTTGAACCTCAGATCTTCTCCTCCTTTCCTGTGCTTAGATATGCTATGTGCTAGGCTCCTCTATGTTGAAAAGTCAACCAACCAAATTTGTGTGAGAGATTTGTTCTGCAAAGATACTAGAAAGCTTTCCATCTGTATCTCTACTTTTCAGTCACCTTCAACATTCTGGGCCATTATGACTGAATTCACAGACACTCTGACCCTGACAGTGTCAGTGTAATTATCCTAATGAGGTCTTGTACACCTTTTGTCCAGTCAAAGTCCTACCTCTCTCCCTCACTGCACCTGTGTGTGCATGCTTATGTGTTAAGGCTCACTTTTCAACTCCGATGGCCGATGATGTATTCATCCCTCCACACACACACAACTACGTACACAGCCCCTCCTTTCTGTCCACAGAGAGCCATCACACATTGGCCATCACACAGACACAGACTGAAAAAGAGGCAAGAAAAACAGCCCCGGTATAATTAGTTCCCGGCTTTTCATAACTCATGGTCATGGTGGAAGTCTCATTCTCATATAAAAGGGTATCAGAGGATATAAAAGTAAGCCCGTATTCAGACATCAGACTCCAGAGTGTCTGGGTGTCTGGCCCTAACAAAAGCCAGTTTATGACAAGAGATCAGAATACAGCACTGGGTGATGTGCACTGCTGTTGGCATAGGAAATGAGAGATCAAGCTGAAGATTTACAGGTTAAAGACTGAGATAATCAAACTGTTGGCTTTTAGATTATAGGATGATGACTAAGACACAGGTTCAAGTGAAGAGGAGCTTCTGTAAAGAGGTTAAAGTGGTATAATAATAGGGGTGGTCTTTCTCTTACGGAAAATGGTCACCGTATTGGATGTTCAATTCAGCTGCAGGAAAAGCCTTACATCAACTCAAAGCAAACATGGGAGTAAATAAAAGTAAAAGTTTACTAAACTAAATTTAAAAAAAACTGCAAATAAATAACAATTGATTGACTGAAATTAAATAGCCCTCTTGTCTACGGCACATATCTTCTTACTTGTACTGTGTTCTCTTTTGAGGAAAAATTCCATAGTTTTGCATTAATTCAGTTGAATAATGTCAACTAATTACCACTAATACAGGCTAGATAGTAAATTGTCTGCTCATCTGTAGCATATTAAACAGCATGTAAACATACCTGCAAATGTCACTTTGGTCTGGTTTGATACGGTGCAACACTGGCACTCTGGCAGCTTGCTGTCAATCAAACACAGACACTGACTCGCCACTCCAGCCACTGAGAGGTAAAGGAGCATTTCTGATATATATAAAGATATATATAAAGACCATACCTCCTTTAATATTGAAAAAACTATTAACAGTACTGATATATATAACATCTATATCTATATTTTAAAAAGCAAGTTAACATTATGTATTTTTAGAAAGAGATGATTAACTGTGATTTCTGATTTAAGCAACATTTTTATAAATATTATGGGGACAATAACACAAAACTTTGAATTGGTAAATCATCATAATGCTGTTATCTACTCCACTCCCACTTTGTCATTTAGGGCTATAAGCTAAAAGTATTATTACACAAAAAATGCCAGTAACGAGAAGTGATGGTTAAATAGATTTTGAATTTCAGAAGAACTGACCATTTCTTTATTCATAAAATGTCTTGAGCTGGTAGAACTGTGGTGGGCTATACAGAAGGAAAGGTAGATTGTGTATGTTTTCCCACGAATCTCATGGAGGACTTTTGCATTGTTTGGCACACAGCAGAAGGTAATTTGGTTTTGATCTGCAATGCAGTGAAGTGCATAGGGACAGTTGTCCAAAACAAGAAAACACAGCCAAAATCAACTACAGTATGTTGAGCCAGAAGAGCTGCAGGCCCTATGATTAATGTGCATGCTGTTCTATGAGTGTGTTGTGTGCTCCACTGGCCAGCTTTTCATTCATCTCATGTCTTTCCACTCAGTGCTGGGAGGCGTGGAGTCACGTGGTGTGCTGAGGAAGATCAGCGACATGCTAGAGGTGATTCTGAAGAGGATGGACAGCCTGTCCAAACTTGACAACACCTCCACCACTGACGCACGGCGCCTGGATGAGCTCAGCTCTGCTATCAACAGGTACGCTGAGTTTTATTTTGTGTCAGTGCTATGCGTGTTGGTGATCACCAAAAAAAAAAACAGTACTTCCTAGATGTAACTGGTTGTAGTGAAATTCAAACCAAAATAAGATGTGGAAGTTTATTTTTAAATGATGAGAGTCACACAAGTCTGATACCTTTATTCGTTTCTTATTTGAAACATTCTGAAAACGTTCTGAAACCGATAATGACATGAGTGTAGTTTGGCATCAACAACACATATATTTTTTGCCAAATTGTAAAAAACTGTATCATTTTACTGTTGTTAGTTGATGCCACCATATGTTAGATACTTTATTCTTCTTCCAATGAAAACACCAAATCAAATTTAGTTGTAAAATTTGACTTGAATTCTAATTCAAATACTTGCTATACAACTTGCTATACAACACCTCATGTTATAACACCCAATGTGAATTGGGTGCCGAATTGGGTGACAACTTTGCGTCACCCAATTCATATTGCCCAGTGCGAATTTGCATCTATTTGCATCTTTGCATTGATTTTGTATATAATGTACTCACACGTTTGGTGGGAACACACCATTAGGCTACCGGGTCTAATGAAAAATCACGAGCTCAGCGGATTTTTTTCTCATTCCCTGGCTACAAAACTTTAGTATTTAGTATGAAATTATAAAATAATTTCATAGAAAATGGATAGTGAAGCATTGTTCTTTCCCCTTATGAAAGGGGGAAAAATGCATCGCTGACATAGAAATAATGCATGCCAATCATCTCTTTTATGATACAGTATTAGAAGTGCATTGGTTAGCTCACAGAGCAGCTGGTAGAGCTTTGTAAGATTACTTATCCTATATGGCAGATAGACGTGAAATACTATAATGACACCATCCTATTCATTATCATTCATACAGTATTCATCACCTCTCCATCTCCTCTATAGTCATGACTTCTATCTTCTCTCCTTTTTTACTCCTCACCTTATTCTATTTCTTTCGTTTTTTTCCCCCTCACGATGGCTTGTGGAAATTGCTGCTTATTACCTCAAAATCGCTGCGAGTCTTGTATGACCTTGCTGCCAGTGCTTTTATCAAACTGCTCCTCTCTTTGCCCTGTTAGTACCAAAACATCGAATTTGTCTTTTCTATCTAACGTTCTCTTCATTCTGACTCCTTTCATTTTCAAACAGCCTGACTAAACTCAGGCAGTAGGAATGATGTGATACACACTGACACAAATCTCCTCGCTTCCTCGAACCTTGTTAAATGATCCCGGATAAGCGTTCAGGTTCAGATCTGCGCAGAGGCACCAGAGCGGAAGGATGGACCGATTAATATGGTCTGGCATTGGTGTTAACTGCAATCAATGTCTAGTAATGGGCTGTTTAATGTGGGGGAAGCCATTCTACTCTTAGGCCATGGCTGGAGAGAAGTGCCCTGCTAAGAGTATAGCTCTGTCTATTGTCAGGGACGGTACATGCATACGTTACTGTAACAGAAATCAATTTCTAGTTATTGCCTCGAAGGGGGTAGTTTGGGTGAATAAAGGCTTATGGTCAGGGTGTAGTTAGGTTCAAGCACAAGAGCTGAAATCAATATTGTGTGACTATCCTGTTTTAAATATGGTTAATGAACACTTTGCCCATAGCCACTAACTTGTTGTCAGCCTAGAACTTGGATAAATAACTGATGTTTAGCAGTGTCTCTTTAAATTAGTTGAGTGAAAATGTAGTAACAAATGGCTACATTATACAATAACATGCTTGTGAAAAATTACATCTTAAGGGTAATAATATGTTATTCTTTAACAAACCATAAATGGTCATTATCATCAATCAACATTGTGTGGAATGGAGGATAGAGATGAATGGGGACAGTCCCCATGGTTACAGCTTGCAAGTGTTCACGCCTTAAGATGAAAATTGACAGTGTCTGAACCTAGTTTCATTTTCACATTGAGTGAAAATCTCTGCATGTTTTATTTGCCGAGTTGGACTTGTAGGCACAAAATTCAGTGCGCTTGATCAAAACAGCGTTATGTTAAGGTTTAGTCGCAGTAAAAAAAAAAACACCCTATGATCCAGGCTTAATCCCCAGCAGCAGTGCCTTCAGCTTGGCTAGGTGCCCCATTACACACATCTGGCACTCAACCTATTGCCCACATTTGTTGCTGAGATTGCAATGCACTCAATCAGAGATACTCTAAAGTTAAGGTTTATTTTCACATGTCTACCCTATTACATACCCTGTATGTATTACCCCTTGTGAAAATGTTGCATTTTAAAACATTATATTATCTAGAAAATAAATGTAAATAAGCTGCAGCTCTAAAAATGAATAAATGAAAGCACACAATGTGATGACATGACATGCATTTCAAGTCTTGTCTAAAACTATGTTTGTACAAATTGATGCAAACCATAAAATGTTTGGTGGGTTATAAACATCAAACTCCCCACAGAGACCAAACATCACTCAGCGAGCCGAAGTAAATTGCAAGCTCAAAAATTGACACAAAAACTTCTGCTGCAAGAAGTTCCCCTTTCTTTGTTTAATTCTTAAATGAGTTCTCCTTGAAAGTTGTTCTCTTCAGCAGCAGTGCTCTGTGAACAATACGAAAAAAGAAAAAAATCCATTTTATTTTCTGCGTACACTGTTGTTTGGTTTGGACTGAATGGATCCTTGGGAAAGCGAAGCCATGACATAGCTGGAGTGAAAAGTTTTTTAGATTTAGGAAGCAAAATGGAAAAGGCATATTGACTAACGAAAACTGTTGGTGGGCACACACACACACACACACACACACACACTTTTTGTCTTGGGTTGGATGTTTCCTTTTGATTGGCTTCCTGCTGAAGGATAGAATAATATGTGTTTAATGAGTGTGTGTGTGTGGCTATGTCTGTGTGTAAATGCGTCACGCATGTGTGTGTCTATGTATTAGTTCATTTGAGGTAACGCTTGTTAAAAGTAGTCTTGGCGGGAGACCAGGGCACAGACCCCTGACCGAGGACATAGCCTGCGGGATTAATGGCCCCACACACACACACACACACACACACACACACACAAGGATGATTTAAGTCTCTCTTTAGTCCAATGATTTTCATTCCATCACTCGTTTCCCCTCTTCCTGTCTCCATCTATGTGTGTCTTACTCACCTTTACTCTCTTTGCCTTTCCTTTCTTGCCCCCCTGTCCCTTTTACTATATTTCCCTTCCTCTTTTTCTTCGTCTTGCACTCACACATACACAGAGCGAGAGAGTGTGTGAGAAAGGTAGTTGAGTATGAGTGACGTGGTAAAGTGTGATTTTTGCCAGCAGGGAGAGGAGCAAATAGGAAGAGAGAGCTTTATAAAAACATATCCCAAATCCAGGCCAGTCAGGCACGCATTCACAGAAAGAAATACACACAAACGCACACACGCACACATACCCAAACACACACTGGGCGGGAGTCTCATCTCCGTGTGAGCTTCATTGGTGCTGACACACTCCTGTGTAGCGGCGAATGGGGCTTGATGTCTGAGGCCCCAGCCTACGATTCGCCCACAGGGCAGCCACTCGTTACAGCAGAAAACGGAGGGGAAATAACGAGGGAGAGAGGGAGGGAGGGAGAGGGACAGCAAAGAGCCTGAGAAAATAAGAGGGAGAGGAGAGAGAGGGAAAAGGACGCGCAGTTGATTCACTTCGTTTTACTGTGCAGTGGATGAGAGGGGAGATTGGTAAGCCTCCCCTTAGGGGCACGCTCTCCGAAGATCAGTGCTCTGGCTTGGCTTTACCTATTTCTCCTCCCTTAAGCACTCATCTAAGCTCCGTCAGTAACAACCTTTATCCCAGGAGACCTTCTTTTCCACAGCACTCAAATCAATGTCACACTGCAGCTTTTCTGGAAGTAGTCAGCGAAGGAGACACTTAAATTTCTCTTTCATTTTTATTTTGTTTTTCCTGATTTCAGTTGCTCTGTGCATAGATCAGTGGGAGAAATAAACCATGCTGTTCAAACCTAATTTTCTATACCACTGTATGTGGAGTGTGTGTCTGTGGGCATTCATACGTGTGTTGGCATTTGGGTCTGTGAAGGATCGGTGGAATAAGCTCTGTTAAGTGTGATATTTTAACACCATGACACAGGGTGGAAAAAGTCAGGACACACGCGAAACAAATGGGCATCAGCCAAACCCACAAACCCACATGCTGACACCTTGTCACATGAATCTCTTGCCCTGGATGACTTCGGCTGATGGGATGCTGCCCGAACTGTCCTTCTCCCTTAAGAGGATGAGCTCATTAGATAGAGAAGGGAGGGGAAAGACAAATACAGAGAACATGAGAGAACACATTGTATCCTTAGAAACTCTGCCCCTAGTTATCATTGATTTTCTCTTACCGCTTATCTCTCGGTTTCGTCTTTTTGTGCTCTACTTCTGCTTGGCATCCGTCAGTGGATTTGCTCTTGTCGTTTCTTCTCCCGCTATACTTTCCTCCCGTTTTGTCATCTCTTTACTATTCCTCATTTCTGTTTTGTTTTCCTCATTTGTAAAAGAGCCAACTGTCTGCATTCATCAAAAGGGGGGAAATTTCATTGCAAGTAGCATGCAACAGTGGGCCATCAAATATGCATATCCTTGTATTCTTTGATCATAATCATCATTTAATGTTTCAGTCAAGCTGTTTTGTTGGCTTCCACGCGAAGGCGCAAAGGATCTCGTCATTTTATAATTTCTCTTTCTTAGCCGACAGTCCCCCTGGTACTCTTGGTCTGTTTGCTGTGGATGGTTGATTTCCTTCTTTTCATTTTCTGCCTGCTTTTATTCAAGTTTTTCCTCGACTTACCCGTTGTGTGTTTCTCAATTTTTTTTTTCTTGCCCTCTTTGGATCTCATTGTGCAATGCTCCCCCTTACTTCTCAGCCTTAGTCTCTCCTTCTAACTTTCTCCCATTCCAATTCTGTGTGTGTTCATCTCTTGGGATGAGTTCCCATTGTAGCAGACGTTAGAGGTGCGATTAGAAGGTCAAGTCTTATAGAGGCCAACTTGCACAGTCACAGTCAAGCCCCCAAAAGAGAGCTTTACAAAAACAGGGGTTACCAGGCTTACCAAGCAAAGGTTTTGTCCTTCAGGCCAAATACATTGCAAGTTTTATAGGACAGGTACCATGGCAGCTGTAATCCTCAAACAACTTTTGAGCAATTATATTTATGTTTTAATGTAATTTTATTGCCTAATATAATGCTGTAAAGTAATAACTTTAACTAACACGCTGTATTTGCCTCACTTACATGGAATTGAGGAGTCCAATTATAATTAGTTCTGTCATGTTTTTATTTAGATAACTCTGTTTCAGGGCACTCTAAGCGACTTACAGTACAATGAGTGCAGTCAAACATATGAATACAAATCTAACTTGCAAGACGCAAGTACATCAACTTCATGAAATACTAAGCAGAACTGCTTAAAGTGCTGCATTTAGAAAGAGATAAGACCTTTGAGGCTTCTTTTCATGGACCAAGCAATGGAAGATGTGCAGAGTTTCTGCAGCACTGATGTCAGTGGGGAAGACATTCCACCATTGTGGAGCCAGGACAGCAAACAGTCTGGATGTTGTTGAGTGGTAGGTGGGCCCTCATCTTAGTGAGGGAGGAGTAGCAATCTATTTGGCAGTAGTGGAGCCTGGTGTCTGGGCTTGAGCCATTCGCAGCACAGTAGGCAACTAGCAGTGACATGAATTGGAGTCGAGCAGCCACCTTATGGGTGATAAACTGATGTGTCCTCCTGATGTTGTGGAGCAGGAATCTGGTGGAGCGTGTTGTTGCAGTGATGTTGGCAAAAAAGGACAGCTGGTCATCCAGTGTCACACCCAAGTTCCTTGCTGTCTAAGCCGGAGACACCACAGAGTTCTCAGTGTCAATGGAGAGGTTGTGGATGGGAGAAGATGACATGCTTAGTCAAGTCAAGACTGAGCTTTAGCTGGGGTGCAGACATCCACTAAAAGGTGTCAGCCAGACACACAAAGATTTGTGCTGCCACCTGGGTTTCAGACCGGGGAAAAGACAAAACTACATAAAAACATGAAATAAATACAAAGCAGAAACTGTAAATTTTAAACGATTTAAAGGAAAATTATGAATAAAAATATAAATAACTGAAAATGTAGATCCTAAATGGGTACATGTATTCATGTCACCTTTTCCACAAAATGTTTCAAGTTCAAGGATAACATAGAGTCAGTTTTTGTATCTGTTAGTTTTGGCTAATGGAAGTCTAAATGAACAAAAGTCAAACCATGTAGAATTTCCATAGGATTTCGATAAAAGAAAATGAACTCTAGAATCCCTGAATGTATACCTGATAGGCTAATACACATAGGTAATGTCTTTCTATGTAAAAGCTTTATTTTATGCAATATAAATACTGAACTTTACATTATAACTTTACATCTCAGCAAATACATTTTGAAGACATATGTTGCCCCTGAAATATAAATGCACTAGACAATAATGGCTTCTCTGTTGTAGTAAATGTAGTAAGCAGGGCGCAAACACACTTAGTGATGCTTACAAGTGATACTTATAAAGCTGTTAATGAAGTGTTAAGACTTCCTGGGTCTTTTAAGGCTGCCTCCTTTTTTATTTTAGTTCATTTTCCTGCAGCTGCTGTTGACATTTAGTTAGTTAAGCAGCCTTGCATTCCATCCTTCACACATACACATAATCAATCATTCTGATCATAATCTCTGATGATGTGTTATTGTGCTGCATTTACGCCTCTGGCTTTAATGAGGGTTAATACCATCTGCTGATTAGACAATACAGGGAGAACAGGGAAGGACACGCCCACACACACACACACACAATGGACACTGAAGTCAAGTCATTTAAATGGACATAATGAGCACAGCCGTATGAGCATGTGTGGTGATGCAGGCTTGGCTTTGCGTGATGTGCAATCATGCAGTCAGATGCTTTGGAAATATGCGAAACTGCAACTAGCACACAATCCGACGCAAAAACATTCACACAAAACCATCACACACACTTTCCCCACACATATTATTATGTGAATGGGAAGTCTCTCACCCTACAGAGGAAGTGGTATTAACAGCACAGGTCTTTTTCTATTTCACGCTCCAACCAAGTGTCTAGCAATTTGCATCTCCCACTAACACTTTTACATCTGTTGAGATGTAAAAAAGGGAGAGAAGGGAAGCAGAGAAAGACAGGCAAGGGAGAAGTGGGAGAAATGTGTAAGACTGAAAAAGAGTAGAATGAGACACAAAAGACGTGAATAACGAAAAGACGGACCTAGGAGGAGGTGATACTATCATGAGAGGAAGAATGGGTAATGAGAGATATTAATAGCTGTTTGTAGAAGTCTGGCAGCCAGGTGTGTGTTAGAGTGGGATTAAAGATTCTACTTTATGCATGGGTGCATGCTTTTAGTCCAAGGCACTTTGTTTACATTTCCGCTCAATCTTATTTCCGCGTGCCTTTATCTTTTCGCTCTACGTTTGTGTGCAGGTTTCAACCGGCTGGCCTGGTGGAGAGGATCCAAGCTATTGCCCAGAATGTCTCCAACATGGCCACCAGGGTGGAGCAGATACTGCAAAACAGCATGGTGCAAGGAAGAGGTACAGTACTAATCTTCATCATCAGAGTGAAAGGACTTTACCCTTGTTTTACCTTATGTCATTCATAAATAACATATAATATAGAATATTTATATATAGCATATACATAAGTGAAAAAGACCCAATACAGCAAAGAATAATTAATAATAGTACTTACTACTACTTGAGTGATAAGTACACTTAGCGCACTAGTTAACCATTGGTGTTAAATAGCTAAACAGACATTTATATACATGAATGTTTGAAATGTTTAACTTACACTGACAAGCCCTGAATCAACTACCTGCAGGTAGAAGCCGGAGCTCAGAGTGAATTCAGATCTGACAATAATTTCTCACTCTGTCTGGTTGCAGATTTCTCTGAAAGATTTCTCACAAGGTAAACTGAGAGGTTGAGAAATCACTGCATTGAATTGATGGGACAGTATTATGTGATGCAGATCATAAGATTACACTTAGTGTACTGGGTTTTAACCATTGTCCCATTAAAACGGGTGTAGGGAGCAGGCTGATTGGAAACTTAGAAACATCCAACATCCCACATTAAGTGTCATTCTTCAGTAACGTTCAACTTGAAGCACAGCTGGACTCATGCACAGCTGTCAACTTGTGTTGATGTGAAACTTCAATGCTGCTCTTACTTCCAGCACAACAGAAGAGAATACAGAACAAATCTGCAGACACACACATGCTGAGAGAGAAAGAGATACACACTGTCACAGTCTTGTTTAAATGAGGACATCTAGCTGATTTTCCCACTGACACAAATCACTTCTGACAAAACGTCTGACTATAAACCATTGGAGCTATTTGCAATTACAGTAGTAAAGTTAAAAATAGGTTTAAAAGAAAAAGATCTGAGAGTTACTGAAAGTCAAAACCAGTAAGAATTTATAGTTCGACTGATTTTATTAGTAGGAAAGTTAGAAGGTAAATGTGAGAAAGCAAGTCATCTGGGATGCAATGTTGTGCATGTGGGACACTGTGGTCATCTTCGTGTATGTCACCTTTGCTTTATTGCTTCCATCTAACCCAGTTGTTCTCTCTTGTCTGGCTCCTGCACATTTTTAATCAAAACCTAAATAATATTAAGCTTGTGACAGTTATACACACTCACACACACACACACACACACACACAATATATAACCACCATTATTTTTCATTTTTTCCTCCGTATTCTCCTCTCTCACTTTTTCTCTTGAGGGTAATTGCCCAATTCTTTACAAGAGAATAAATGAGCATTACATCTCCTTTTGTTTTTCCCCGCTGCATCTGCAGGGACGACGGCACATGCCAAAATGAAAACACTGCTGCTTTCTCTAATCACAGATGAATTGAAACACTGCCGGCAGACTTTATTATCATACGGCTCAGTGGCAGTTTATTTATCTCGTGGTCAGGCATGTGCGCGAGGGAACGACAGGAGAAAGAGAGAGAAAGAGGACGTGATTAGAATTTCCTTCCTCTCAAGCACTGACGAGGCTTTTATGTTCTGCCTTGCAGGGACAGGAGTCGAGTTATCTAGTTAGTTGACCATATTTCCAATTGTTGCTACAGTGGTTGCTATTGTAATCATATTTGTAAGCCGCGTGTGTCTCAGTGTGTGCATTTTTAGTCGATGGAGAGGAGCCCCGGGGAAGACTTATGTGGAGAAATGTCTCTTTTTCATTAGGCAAATGGAAACAGACGCAACCTAGAGAGAAAGGAAATTTGTTGGTCCAGAGAGAGAAAGAGGGAGAGAGAAGAGAGGGGGGTTGAAATACAGAAAAACAATGATAAATTGAAGCTGCATTGGTTCTCTCTCTCTTTCTCTCTCTCTGTGTGTCACTCTCTTCCCTTCTTTTCCTCACATCAGCAGCAGAGAGGCAGTTAACTAAGTCAGTGGAGCAATTAATACAGTGAGTGTAGCCTAAGTGAGCAGACGTACTTGCTAGCGTAACCCTAGGATGGTTGGCAGCAGCGGGAGACAGGCTGTGCTGCTTTGTCAGGGCCCAGTGAATAGTCTACACTGCAGTGGAGCAAATATGGTGTGATGTCGCAAGGGGGAAACCACAGGGATTTATGGGCACCGACGGCACACACAGCATACGCTGGAATTGATGGTGTTAATGATGATGAAGAAAGTGAACATTGCCGTAAAATGTCTACAGGCGAGTGGAGAAAAGCCGTTAATGTGAGTGGCACTGTAACCTGGCGGTTCTGAGGGGTGAGCCTGTGGGTCAAACAAGCTCATGTCTGTTGTCATTTTGTGAAAATTATTTGATTTTAGAAATAAAGCAGGAATTTTAAAGAGGCTTTGACATGCACCATATGCTGCTAAATGAGCTGATAGATATTATTACACTGGTTGATTGCTGTTGGAATAGTTATCTTCACTGGAGAATAAATATTCACATTAAAACCATCTGATTTAAGTAAGATAAGCCAGCGAGTCTAAAGACTAATGAAGAAGTGATTGTGAGTAAAGCAAAGGCATGCAACTTGTATTTCATATATCCATTTATCATTTAGTTTGATATATTATGAGAGATATTTTAGAATGGGAGTATATCCTGGTCTGTTGCTGGCCTTCTCCTGGAAGGTGTCCAGCCTACAAAAAATGTATTTATGCTTTATTACTGAAGGTTAAATTTCATTCACTATGTCTTTTCAGCAGTCAGGGATGGGACATCAAGCCAGTGTGAGGTACCAAGAGACCCCCGCTTTCCGGAGTGTCCAGGGAAAGTGGATGTGAGTATCAATCTTTTATTTTCATTTTAAATATGATGGTACAGCAGGTGTTCTTTAGCTGTGTTAGCCAGTAGTAACAGTAAGTAGTAACAGTAATAGATTGAGTTGGATGAGGATTTTGAGTTGCTACTTAAAAATCACTATGCTTTTGGTAGCAGTTGTCACATGGTGTGATGAGAAATGATTCGGTAAAGACTGTGCCTGTGCCAAGTTTAAGGTAATTACAGAAAAAGTAGCTTGTTACAACCTGTAAATTGAATATTATAATTCTTCTTCACTGCTATAGAACATAATTTATAATTCCTTCTAACCAGCTGATGTCCGTCCATGTGTTTGTTGATGGGATTTTGTTGGCACATGAATGTAAATAGCAGTTAATGTATGTATTCTCTGTATACCATCCAGTGGATGCGTGCACGTTGGACATCAGACCCTTGCTATGCCTTCTACGGTGTTGACGGTTCAGACTGCTCCTTCCTCATCTACCTGAGCGAGGTGGAGTGGTTCTGCCCCCCACTGGCCTGGAGGAACCACAGCAGCCCCCCTACCCAGCATGCACAGCAAGCAAAGGCCCCCAAGAGACAGGTGAAGGGAGTACTCATAAACATGCACAAGCAAAATAAACACCAGCTAAATGAAACGCTACTAGGGACATACATAGAGATATACTCAGACTTAAGTATTAAGAGCCCTCTTTTTATTCAACCCTAAGTTAATTATTTGGACGTACTTAGGAAATTATTTTTAAGTAATAAATGACTACATTTTGAAAAGAACTAAACAGATGTATAGTCAAAAAGGTACAATAGAGGTTAAGCAATTCCACCTTCTGTCTGTGATGAGAAAGAGCAGATGCAGTATGTGGGAGTATTGTCTACATGGCTCAGTCCAAGTATAAAAACAAAGAGATATATATTCAAATTCTTCCAGCCAGGAAAAATAGTTCAAATCGTTCTAAATTGAATTAAATGTGGTATTTAGTAATCAGCGACATACATTGACATGAATAATACAGTGTCATAATAACTTGTCTACAATTAGAATGAAATAAAGATGAACAAAGACATTTCTTCTTGACACGGCTGTATTGATGCAGCACAGTTAACTTCACATACCCAATACGCAGTAGCATCTTATAATACAGAACGCATTTACTCTGTTGCCAGGAGAGAACAGAAAATGTATTTCTGCATTTGTGGCCATTAATTTCACAGGTACCTCACCCTCCTAGGTAATATCCATGACTCACAAGTGAGGGGTCAAAGGCTGAACTTTATAATTTCACATAAACAGAGTCCAGTGACAGATTTGGTGTTTGTTTGCTTAAAAAAGCCACAAAAAACAACCAGGCTACTAGCTCAGACATTACAAGCCTGCTCAGTTCACAAGTTCCTTTGGAAATGTATAAAGTACTGTGAGGGTAGAAATGAGGACCAAAGAATGCAGCTGATTATTAGAAGCCGTATTTCATCTGGTTCATATTTGTTTCATGTTGCTGTCACATGAAAGAATGTACTTGCGGTCCCCTTTTGGCCACTGTAGATGATTTGTGGTTTCTAAGTGTAGACCAACAAAATGTGTACTGTGATGTAATGATTCTTAGCTCATGACATTAATAAAACATGTTACCAACATGTATATAACTCCCCTTCTTATAAACTACTTACTGTTAAACCTTTCTGTGCTGTTGGCACTTAAAAAAACATCTGTTTAGTAGTGAGTGACCTTAAATGTTAATTGCTCACTTTAGTATGTAATGTTTTTGAGAAAATAAACTCAAATCTTCAGTCCTGTAATGGATAGGGAGTCGAGTTAGGGGGGTAGAAATGAGTGTCAGAGGAAAACAAAAGACTTCATACAAGCAATATTTTTTTAGTGAGCTGCAATTGACAAATAAAATATGATTATGTTATAATTACAATTTTTACATACCATCAAAATATTTTTTTTCACTTTGTTATTTGTACCAAATGGTTGCCTTTTATATTTTCAGTTTCAGACAACCTTTAATAACAACACAGACAGCAAATGAAAAATAAAGAGAGTGATTAATATTGGTTGTCATTTTGTCATACGTCCCCAATACCAATCAAAAGAGGTCGAGTGAGAGTGCTAATAGTCTCAAAATATGATGTTCAATATTAAGAGTGTTAGCAGTCTGCCCCCATTGCTACATAATAGTTCACCTTCATCTGACCCTCGTCACTCTCTACTAATTAAAACAAGCCTGACCCTCCTCATCATTATCCTATTCCTTCTCATTTTCTCATTGACTTTGAGATCATGGAGCAAGTAAAACTTTTATACAGACAAACTAGTACACACTAACTAACGTAGTGTGATCACTTTGCAGGGTCATACCCACAATAACGTATGTAGACATACAGTGTCTAGGTATCTCTAATTTTTTAACAGCAACATCATTTGTGATATTGATGCATTCGTGAATTGAGTAGTGAAAGTCTTCCCTTGTTCTCCTTGCTGACTTTTAAAAAGGAACACTAAAATTCGGCACTCCTAGATTGCCTTTATTTTAATATGAACTAATGCATCACATTGGAGGCACAAATACAGGTGAATGTGCCATCTGGGGCAAGCTTGTGTAGTGATAATAAGGGTCTTTGAATTTGGATGTTCACCCAATGGAATAACACTGCACACACTCATACTGTGTTTTGATGATATTTTTCCCAGTTACAGTGGCTTAGTCAGCCTTTTACAGTGTTTGTTTGGGAACACGAAGCAATCATAAATGTTTAAAGCAGTTATTAAAGTGATGTGTGCACATTATATCTTGTTTTTTACACCTTATTTGTGGCAGCAGTGAAATATTCAAGAGGTAAAGCAGAATATTGCTGTAAATGAAGACTGATGTCTCCATCTTATCTACCCTGTGACCCAAATTACTTCCTGTATCCTTCACACAAACAGGGCTGAGCCAAGGTTGTTCTCAGAAGAGAAAAGTCTTAATTGTTTA